AAGATAGTGTGCTGTGTATCTTAGCAGTTTGTCATATTTAAATGACTTTCAACATATGTTTTCGTCGGGGGGGTGCGTGTGTGTGTATGTGTGTGCATGCTCAGGAAATGGAGAAAAAAGAGATTAATCTCTACACGGGTGAGAAAATTTAAGCCCAGTCATGATACAACTTGTCTATATCCCCACATAGAACAGTTTTTTAAACATCAAGCATTTGAATCCACCTCATTTGATTGTTAATGGGAGCCTTTCTACAATGTCATGTGCTTAGAGGAAAAAAGTGAAGCTCCTCTATTGGGATTTGAAGGTGTTAATCATCAAACATTCAACTAGGTGGCCCATTTCTGAGGACTGATAGCTCTGTCTGTTCCTCAGCCTGTTCCTGAGCTCTCATGGTTCTTTGACTTGGCTCAGTATGATGGATTTCATACTCATAAGTATTGATTTACATTTTATCTGCTTTGAAATTCCTCCATTCTTACCTCTTCCATGAGTTCTAGTTTGATTATTTACTTCTCTGTTCCCCCTACAAATCTCTAGGGAAAGCATTATTAATTTTATCTTTCCAGATGGTTAAAAAAAAGCTAAGTAATCTATTTCAAGATTCTAATTAATATCTTTTTGGTCTATGTAATTTAAACAGTTTACCTTGGTATGTAAGAATACTAAAAATATTGTAAGTTTTTCCATTGTTTATATTTCTATCTTCCTTTGTTAGTAATACATAGCATATTTTAGTTAAGTTGTCAAAAGTACAAGACAAAAAAGTAATTAAAATCCACAAAAGAAAAGTTCCAAGTCATCTTTAAGAGTATCTTCATTAGAATAACAATAGATTTCTCAAACACTAGGGAGGCATGAAATGACATATTCAAACACCTGACAAAAATAACTGCCAACCAAGATTACTTGAGACAAATGAAAAGGAAAAAAAATGCCAAAATTTGTGGGATGAATCAAAAGCAGTAATAAGAGGGAAGTTTATGGAAATGAGTGCCTACATGAAAAAAGTTGAATTTCAAATAAGCAACCTAAGGATGCATCCCAAGGTCATAGAAAAGCAAGAACAAACCAAACCCAAAATTAGTAGAAGGAAAGAAATGACAAACATCAAGGCACAAATAATTAAAATAAACTCTAAAGAATAATGCAAAGAATCAGTAAAACAATTGGCTCTTTGAGAAGATAAACAAAATAGACAAGTTTTTAATGGGAATAACAAAGAATAAAGCAAAAACACTAAAAATTAGAGACAAAAAGTAGTCATAACAACCAATAACAGAAATACACACAATCATTGAGGATTATTATGTAAAACCATGTGCTAACAAAAAGAAAAACAAAAATGGACACATTTCTGGACACATATGACTACAAATATTTAATCATGAGGACACACAAAATATAAATATACCAATAAAAATAATGAGACTGAATCATTGTCTTTTTTTTTTTTCAGTATCGGGGATCGAACTCAGGTCCTTCTGCTTAAGCAGCAGGCAGTGAAACCACTGAGCTAAATCCCCGGCCGCTTAAGCTTTTTTCTTTTTTTTTTTTTTGGTACCGGGGATCGAACTTGGGTCCTTGCACTTGCGAGGCAGGCGGCAAAACCACTGAGCTAAATCCCCGGCCCTCTTTTTTTTGATACCGGCAATTGAACTCAGGACCTTGCGCTTGCAAAGCAGGCAGCGGAACCACTGAGCTAAATCTCCAACCCATGCGATTGAATCAATAATAAAATGTCTTCGAAAAAAATGAAAAGAAAAAAGTCTTCAAACAAAGAAAAGCCCATGACTGGATGGCTTAATGGCTGAATTTATCAGACTTTTAATGAAGAACTAATTCTGATACCTTTCAAACTTTTCTATAGAATTGAGAAGGAGGGAACACTTCCAAACTCATTCAATAAGGGCTACATTACTTTGTTACCAAATCTAAACAAGCACACAACAGCAACAACAACAACAACAACTACTACTACTACTACTACTATTACTACTACCACCACATACTGAAATGCTTGATGAAAATAGATGTTAAAAATTCTCTACAAAATTATAGCAAATCAAACTCAAAGAGACATCAAAAAAAATCATTCACCATGAAGGGTAAAAATTATAAAGCACCTCAACAGTTGCAGAAAAATGTTTGACAGAATTCAACATCCTTTCATCACAAAAACTGAACAGATTAGGTATAGTAGACTAGTACCTGATGTAATAGAGGGATTCTATGACAAACTCACAATCAACATCATGCTGAGAGAGGAAAAGCATTTTATCTAAGATCAAGAACAAGACCAGGTTGTCCATTCTCATTATTATTTGATATAGCTTTAGAAGTTTTAGACAAAAGAATTAAAGTAAAACACCAGAATATAAAACCAAACTAAAAAATCAATAGTTTTTCTGTACATTAATAATAAATTTGGGGGCCAGAGATTTAGCTCAGTGGTTTCACTGCCTGCTGCACAAGTGCAAGGACCCGAGTTCGATCCCCAGTACCAATAATAATAATAATAATAAATAATTTGGTGAGAAGGAAACCCTAAATCCAATCCCAGTCATGATACCTAACCAAAAAAGCCCTAGAAATAAACAATGAAAAAGCAAAAGTCTTCTACAATGAAAATCACAAAACACTGATAAAAGAAATTAAAAGACACAAAAAAATAAAAAGACCTCTGTTATGGTTTATATTTAAATGTTATGGTTTATATTCAAAAGATTTGTATAGTAGAATGTTGTGAGCAGGGTTTGATGTTCATTGGTCAGAACTGAAAAGACCAGAATGTTGATAGGAGTGCAGACAGTAAAGACCAGGCTCAGGAGGTTTCAGTGGGGAATAGGGACTCCATGTGAGTTGGGCTAGAGAACATCTGTGTTATATTCTGTCCTTTTTAATTAAAAGTACAATTATAATTACATATAAGACTGCTAACCAAATATCTTTCCAATACAAAATTTGGAGAAAAAAATGGAACTAAATTCCAGTCATTTTCATTGAGAAGTGGAATTTCTTTGAGTGATTTTCAAAATCCTTCAGTTAAAAAAGTTTTGTACCCAAGCAGGATATGTGCAATTCTGTAGTATACAGAAATCAGTAATATTTTTTAAAATTGAAAGGAATGAGAAGTCAAGTATGTAAATTAAAATATTTTGCAATATGCATCACATATTTGCATTTATACCATGAGAAATAGGAGTAAAAAGTTAGCAGAATGAAAACCTGCTTCACATATCCTCATAGAAATGTGTGTAAATAAAAGTGCAAAATTAAGAATCTCAAAATGAATAAGTTTGGTGAATTACATATTAAATGTTGAATATTTGATGAATGCTAATTAAAGTAGTGCCATTAAAAGGAAAGGAGAAATGCATTTCAAGGATTGAAAATCCTTGAGATTCACAAAGTAAGAAAAACGGGAAAACACTCATAAGGCAAAACTGTGGAAAGACCTAAAACAGACCCATCTTATATGAAATTCTAAAATTAGAAATGTATATTTCCAATGACTGTCTCATTAGACTATTATATACAATGGCTTTAAGTCAAATCTCTTTCAGGAAAGTATCTACTTGAATTTTGAGTATCTCCTGAATCTGGAAGGGATCTGCAAAGGTCAATTTACTCTTGGGAGGAGAGATCTTGTGTGATGGGAAGAAATAAATGGAAAAGAGGAGGTCACTTACTGGCCTGTTTTCAAAGGTTCTTGAAAATTCCTGAAGATCCCAAAGTTTGGAGAAAGAACCACTGGCCCCTTCTACCTAATTTTTTGCCTCATTATACTGTTAGAGGAATTCCTTCCTCCTACAAAACTTCTTTGGGTTCTTGAAGATGCAGTGAATTTCTCAGACCTCTAGAATGCCAGTCCATGTGTAAACCTAAGTTTCCAACTCCTGAGCTTCGAAGAGTGACCCTTTTCCTCACTCTTCTGACCCTGATTGAATTCTTCTCCTTCTTAAATTTCCACTGATTCCTTCCTTTCTTCTATTTATCCTGTTTTCTCCCACTGATCTTACTTTGTTTATTCTCCTTTTCATATGTAAGGAGGGCTATGTTTATCTGATTATCTAGTACAACAATTAATTTTGTTGTTACTCAGCCCTGTGCTTGTCCTATGTACTTGGCTTATATTACTTAGACAAAAATGTCAGCAAAGTCATTTCCCCAATTCTTATGCAGGAGGTTAGGTTCAGCCAGTGGGAAGTGTGACAGAGAAATGTGAAGAAACAACTAATCCATCTCAAGAATAGGGATGGCAGTAACCCTTTAGCAGTCTCAACAGCAGTTCCTCTAGGGACTAAGCAACTCTGCTGCTCACACTAGAAATGGATTCTCTCCCCTTTGCCACTTTCCAGGTGAAGGTGCCAGGAGAGACACAGAAAATGGAAAGTGTTGGTAAGGCTGTGCTTTGGCCTCAGAAGCTGTTGCCTCTCCCAGTCAGTAGCTTCTTATGTTTTTTCTATTGATCTCTCTTACTGTCTAAGCTCATCCCCGAACCTATTCTTAACCCCTGATTCTCAAATATATGTCATTATCTGAGGCACTGACTCTTTTATTGTAGTAAACCTCATACTCAAATCTCAAATCACCATGGGTTGAAATAAAATTTTGGGTAACAGACAGTTTGTCAGTTGTAAACCTGAATATCATCTCACAAATGTTTCTTCTAACAAAAGAAGTCTGAAATCAGACTTCTAGATTGAAATAATTACCTAATCCATTGGTGCTGAATATTAAATGTGAGCCAAAGGAAGAAATTACCTTATGCTCCTTCCTTGACAATTCTAGAGATCCCTCTTACAAGGTATTTTGTTGTATCTGACACGCTTTTTTAAAAAAAGTTTTCCTGGGGCCAGGGATGTAGCTCAGTGGCGCCGCATCTGTCTGGAAAGCACAAGGTCCTGAGTTCGATCCCTGGTAGCCCAAAAAAAAGTTTTCCTAATGACTTCCGTGCAATTTTGCTCTATTTTCCAATTATTCTCTGTGACTTATAATCAGCATCCTTTTTGCAACATCCTTTTCAGAGCTGCTTTTACTTCCTGGTTCTTCAGGCTGTAGATAAAGGGGTTCACTAAGGGAGTGATGACATTGTACTGCACAGAGAAAAGTAATTCCATTGAAGAACTTAAGTTTGGGACAAGATAGCGAAGAGAAGCAGATCCATAGAACAAAATCACAGTAGTAAAGTGGGAGGAGCAGGTGGAGAAAGCCTTGCTCCTGCCTGTGGTGGAGCTGATGCTCAAGATGGTGGAGACAATACGTGTATAAGAGAAAAAGATCAGGAGTAAGGTCCCAAAAGCATGGAGAACTGTGGAGCCCAGTAGAACTGCAAAGTTGGAGGAGACATCAGAGCAGGACAGAGAGACTAGAGAAGGCAGCTCACAGCTGAAGTGAGGCATGACATAAGACTCACAGAAGTTCAAATCCCAAGCCATGAGAGTGTTAATGAGAGCATCCAGAAAGCCCAATCCCCACGAGGCCCACACCAGACCCCCACAGAACTGTCTACTCATCATCTGACCATATAGCAGTGGGTGGCAGATGGCAGCATAGCGGTCATAGGCCATTGCCGAGAGCAGACAGGCTTCAATCCCTGTAGTGGAAAACACAAAAAATACCTGAGTCAGGCAGCCTTCTACTGAGATTGATTTCCTCTGAGACAGGAGAGTCTCCAGCATCTTGGGCACAGTGACTGATGTTAGACAAACATCCAGGAAGGAGAGGTGACTCAGGAAGAAGTACATGGGTGTGTGGAGCTGAGAATCAGCTCCGACAACCAGCAACATCAACAGGTTCCCCATGATGGTCACAAAGTAAATCCCCAGGAACAGCGCAAACAGCAGGGCCTGAATCTGTGGCTGACCAGGCAGCCCCAAGAGGATGAATTCAGTGATGGTGCTGTGGTTTCCTATGGCCATGACAGAAGATGCTCATCTGGAACAGCACAGAAAGGAAGGTGAGGCGGTCGTCCACTCTTCATGCCACCTCAGAGCTTCTACTGCATCTCTCCCCAGCCTGCCTGCTCATCTTCTGCATAGATTTTGTACCTTGTCCCCTCCTCTCCAGAGTCTTTCTCACATCCCATTGGCTCTTGAGCAACTTCTGAACCCGAATCCTCACATTGTTGCTCTTTCTCTATAGGACTCTTCTAACCAAAATGACTCTGGAGAAAGTCATTTTTTTTTTCAGACTAGTCCTTGACTAATTGATTTTATCCCCTTTAACTGACTTTTGTTTTAATTCTGAAAAAAATTAAAGTGAGTTTTTTATGTAGCATATTCCTAGAGAGTTTGTTCTGTTTTTGTTTTCCTCAAACATGCAGTACTCACTGCATTGATTTCATACTTCTTACTGATAATAACTTAAATCTACTATATTTTTGCATGTCATATATTTATGAAATATGGTTTTTTTTTTACTCAAAGGATAATTTTGAAGTGTATGTGTACCTGTACATCCATGCACAAATGGTGGGGATGTGGTAGGAAACAGGAATTAAGCAGGACAATGAAATTCCTAAATCTACAAATATCAGGTTTAAAAAATTGGAGGCTCAGGTGAACAAAATTTGTTCAGTTTTCTAATCTGAACACCCATGATTTCTATCCGTTGCATATGGCCCCATACGTGGAGCTTTTTCTACTCTTCTATAGTACTGTTTCCACCATTCTTCCTGAATAATAGAGAACTTCTAGGCTTGGCATTTAAGGATTAACTAATCTCTGCAGTAACATCTCTCTCCACAGATATACTGATTTACTTAGTTTTATGTGAATCTTGGTGAGGGATAGTTGAAATATTTCCTAGGTGGTTCTAAGTCTCCAGAGTGTAGAATTAGGGTACCCATTGGTCTTACAAGACAGCCTTGATGCCCTCATTTCATTCCTCTTCTCTGCCTTGATTTTGGCTGAAATTCTGTTGAATTTTACAAAGGAATAAAACTATGTATCATTGCTCACCAGTATTTATAATAAAGCAAACAATTTACAGTTGAATATCATTCTGACCACCACCAAGTTATTTTCCTGAATTCTGCTGAACCCATAACCTAAATGCAAAAAAGATTGAGCCTATGTATAAGGAATGAGTTTGGGTAAAGAAAAAACATGCAGGGCTGGGGATTTAGCTCAGTGGTTTGCCACCTGCTGCGCAAGTGCAAGGACCTGAGTTTGATCCCCAGTACCAAAAGAAAAAGAAAAAGAAAAAACATGCAAGTGCATGCCAGTAATTTAGATTATGATAGAGTCAGGGATTTAACTCAGTGGCATCATACCTGCCTTGCAAGCCCAAGGTCCTGAGTTCAATCCCTGGTACAAAAAACATTTAGATTATGAAAGTTTGTCTATGTATCTGAGCTGATCAAAAAATCAATTATTTTTAAATTTTAAAAATGTATTACAGTAGAAGACACATTGGACTCTAAGCAAAATTTCCTAAATGTAGAAAGAATGCTAGGGTGAAACAAATAGTACATAAATCACATACATTTCTTCCTGAGGAATAATCACAGCATGAATTCCAGTTTCAGAAATGAACAAAGCTTGGGCTAGAGATGTAACTCAGAAGTAGAATATTTGCTGGGTTTGATCCCCAGAACCACACAAGAAAAAAAGAAAGGAAGAAAGAAGGAGAGAGAGAAAGAAGAGGAAGGACTTGAGGGAGACTGAGAGATGATGGGAAAGAAAAGGAAATGTAGAGTTGAACAGTTCACTTAATAGTGGACTTGAAGGACTAGCAGAAGACTTATCTTCTGCGACACTAACTGACACCTGATATAGCCATTTTCTCATTTCTGTCCTCACTTGAGGGATTGTATAAAACCATGAACTTATTCATCTACTCATAAACTCAACTAAATTTGGTGTTATCTGTCACTTCATCCATGTAGTTAGCTATCTAATCTTTCATTTATTCACTTATTCACTCTGTCGATCCAGTCATCTATCCTTCTAATTATTCAAATATATTTATGGATTTATTTTACTCTGTATAAGACCTCCTACTTATAATAGTAGAAAATCAACCTTGGACAATCTGATTTTCCAATTGTACTTTCCCAACATCAGGGCTGAATACCCTTGCTGGGTGATTTTTTTTTTCATATCCAACTTGTAACCTGACCCATCACTGTATGCTCAGATTGAACTCCTTCATAAGCCCTCTTGCTTTGCTTGCTTAGCAACTGTTTACCATAATCCTGATTGTGCAATTTTACTTTAAATCTTCTCTGAATACCCCAATTTTACCTGATACTGCAGTCTGACATCAAACTTTCCAATGGCATCCACCTTAATAAATTCTATTTCAGCTGGAACATTAAATGGTTCTATACTTGCTCTTCCTGGCTTTCCCTTTTAGGGACTTTAGCCAAATCTCCATACACCAAGTCTTTGCCTGCATTTAAATTCATGTCACCTCTCAGTTTTGTCAGGTGACTAATTTGCAGCCTAGGTTGAAGGCTCAAATTAATTCACATTTTCCAATGAAGATGAATGGATAAAGAAGTCAACTTTTGTTTTACATAAGTTTGTAAAATTCTGCAAAAGAAATTCCTGTGCATTTTTCAATAGCAAAGAACTTCCTCAGCATTTTCAATTTAGTATCTGTTTTTGATCAGATATTAACTTCAATGTTTTCATATTTATTGTCGGTGTAGACTTAGATATAATCCCATTTTTGCTCCTGAGCACTCAGCCTGAGTTAACTCCAACATATCCAAAAGATGTTGGAGAAGCTATGAGTTAGAGATCCAATATTTAAAAACCCCTTTCCCATAGGAAAGGCGCATACAACCTCTGAGAAAGACAAGTGGATACCTGGGTTGTGAATTCCATGATATGCTCCCCTTGGCCCCCAACACAGATAATCTCACTGTGACCAAGGGAAGACAGGGATTCATTCCACCTTACAGCAAAAGGTAAGCAGGAATTCCAAATTTTGCCTGTTAACCTTGCCAAAAGGAATAGCACTGCCTTGATTTGAGTTGAATATATACATGAAGGGGTAGAGAAGGGAAATTTTCCTGCATACACAGAGAAATTAGATGAAAAGTGTAGCCCAATGAGGTCTCCTTAAGTTATGTAAGTTATAGCCAGGTATGATAGTTCATAGCTGTAATCCTAGCACTTTGGGAGGCTGAGAAGAGAAGGGCAAGTTTGAATCCCACCTGGGAAACTTAATGAGACTCTGTCTCAAAACAAATAACAAAGAGGCTGGGGATATGGGTTAATGCAAAATCCCTGGCTTCAGTCCCAACTACAGAGAGAGAGAGGGAGAGAGAAGGGGGGGAGAAATTTAGCAATTTATTTGGGTAGCTATGTTGGAACAACCATCAAACAGAACACTTTGTTATCTTGTCTGTACTGTCTTAATGAGAACTGAACAAGAGTTTTCTGGATTTCTTTAAGAAAAACTCCAGGGCCAGGGATGTAGCTCAGTGGCACCATGCCTACCTGGCAAGCGCAAGGTCCTGAGTTCCATTCCAGGTACCAAAAAAGAAATAACTCCAAATAATTCTCACCTCCCATTCTATAATTGGTGTCTAAATTTATACTACTGTGAACTCATTACACTTAATATCTGCACAAATGTAAGATGCAATCTCTCTGAGGACAAAACACATTTATGCCATTTAAAATTATTAACTGCTTTAGGTCAAATAATCTTATATTATTTCTATGGAAGTAGGTAACCAAAGACACTCCCAGGAGAAATGTCTTACAATTTGAGTATTCATTCCACCTGTAATCACAGAAAATGTTAGTTGCATAAATGACAAGATACAGAGGTGGCTAAGTGGATGACTGGGTAATGCTAAAAGGCAGACTGTCTGGCTAACTAATATGCAGAATTAAAAAATGCTCAGAAGCATATAAAGACCCTTCATGTCTCAGAGACATCTGAGAGAGAATATGGCCTTTTTGGTATCTTGTATGTATCTTTTTTTAAAACACATAAAGGGATTTAGTAGGCAGAGATTTAAAAGTACACACTCAAAAAAGTAGTGTGGGCCTTCAAAAGAGAGGAACACTACCGTTTGGAGCTATGATAATTTATTTATTTTTGGTGGTTAAAATCTGTGGAATTTGTAAATCTGTAGGAAGTTCCATCTTGGTCTTGGTTTACAAGAAAAAAAAATGGCCCACCCACAGAAGGATAATAGCCCATTTTACAGGTGATAGGCATGAGTCCCACTGAATATAGTTTTTAGATGGGTAAGCTAAGATGTTTTTCCCAAAAAACATTCTTTTTTCCTAAAATGCCTCGACATAATTTTTTTTAATGTTAAAATGTACAGAGTTCTTTTTCAAGTACTTGCTAGAAAGGGGGCGGGGGGGGCGGGGAAGACTATGATGTGCAAGGCAAGGAAGGGGGCTGACTGCCCCAGGAGCACATGAATTCTCATTCTCTCCCTTTAAGATCGGGTTTCTGCCCTTTATCAACTAAGCTAACTTATGAAATTAGAGTATCTTTAAAGGATTTGGGGTTGTATGAATTATCTTAAAGAGAAATGACCTAAGGCCACAGTCCTTAAGATTTGTGGGCATGGAACACAAGCTGCATATATAACCCAATATATTCCTTACAGACTCCCTCAATAATACTTTTCTCCCTTTTCTTTTGCCACCAATAATTTTGATGACCAGAGCTGATGGTATGGTTAGTAAGAATAGAAAAAATAAACTTTCTTTTATACCTGCATTTAGGGTGTAAATTAAGAGGAGATTCTAGGTCGCTAGAGACGATAATGGGATTTTTACCTTCTTTTTTCCAGACCAGGAAATTCTTGGCTCTTGGTCTCAGTTTCCCAGATCAATGAAGATTTTATGGCCAGTGTACACTCCACACTTCTTAGAGAGCAAAAGTGGATTTATTAAGTAGATTCTAAGAGCAATTGAACATAAGCCTCATAGTACAG